CAATAACCCAGGGTTGTGCAGTTAGAGTCTAACTCTGCCTGGGCCATTGAGTTGTTCAAGATCCTTCCCCACCAGCCTCTATATCAGACTCCCCATCTGTAAAATGAGAGAGTTGGACCAGATCTGTGCTTCTTTAACTTTTTTTACTTTTAAAATTTTATTTATTTATTTTGAGACAGGGTCTTGCTCTGTCACCTGGGCTAGAGTACAGTGGCATCATCATAGCTCACTGCAACCTCAAACTCATGGACTGAAGCAATCCTCCTACCTCAGCTTCCTGAGTAGCTGGGACTATTGGTGTGCACCACCATGCCCAGCTAATTTTTCTATTTTTTTGTAGAGACAGGATCTTACTATGTTGCCCAGGCTGGCCTTCAACTCCTGGCTTTAAGTGATCCTTCTGACTCGGCCTCCCAAAGAGCAAAGCTTACAGGCGTGAGCCACTGCAACCAGCCTTCCTAAACTTTTTGACCTGTGGTCTCTTTGAGAATATTTGATAAAAAGCTTCGGACCAATTTCCCATAGTAAAACAAACAAGAACAAAAAATATGGCTTATACTCTGTTCTTCTACAGGGTATGCAAAATGATTCTTTTCCTTTGCTAGGCACCAGCAGAGGGAGTTTCAGATTAACCTAAAATATGATTTCAAATCTCTGATACCACTTTAGCATTTAGGTATCTGTGTAAACGCTACTTCCTTAGCAAAGTTTTGCAAACCCCCTAAACTAAACCAGGTCCTACAACTATTCTAAGCACTGTTAGAACCCTGTAATTATTCTTCAAAACACTTATCACAACTCTAATAAGATGTCTTTTTAATATTTGTCTACTCCATTAGACTCTAAGCACCATGATGTCAAAAATGTCTTGTGACAAAGTCTCTCTCCTTGTCCAAATTCTAGCCAGGCTCCTCTGAGCCCTCTTCTTGACTAGGCTTCAACCTCTGCCTATCAACACAAATGACTCTGTCCACGCCCCTCCCCTGACATTGAAAGACTTAAACAAATACTAACATAATTTCAAACAGCTCAAGGCCACATGCCTAGGATGACCCTAGACTAGCCCCTCTTAAAGTGCTGCCTGGGAAGCTCAGGCTGCCAAAAGAACCTACTGTTCCAGCCGACACCTGACTGTAGGCCCCAACCACCATTTCTTAGAGCACTTACCAAAAAGGGCTTTCAATTGTGAATCCTTCCTGTGTCCTTTGAGACGTCCATGTATCTTCTGCAACTCAGGAGCATCCTTCTCAAGGACTTGAAAACCATTCATTTAAAATGTAATTGTCAGAAAGGGTAGAGCCTCTGTCTCCCAGTCTCTCTGGGAGGATGAAATCTTTGATAATTGCCAGCCACAGACACAGCTGGCCTAATTAGCATTTACACTGACCAACCCTTTGTAATTTTTCACTTCCCTAATTCTACTGAGTTCCCCCAACACCCTCCCTACTCGTTCATTCTCCCTTTAAAGTGCCCAGTCACTTCTGTACAAATTGAAGTTGAGTTCAGTTCACACTGGACCCTCTTCCCTATTGCAATAGTATATTACTGATTAAAATCTGTCCTTACCACTTTAGTGCCCAGCTTTGTGTATCTTTTACACTTGCTCAGTACGGTGTTTGGTACATAGTAGATGCTCAGTAAGTATTTCCTGAATGAGAAACTTTTGATGAAAGTCATCCATTGGTTCCAGTATCCACTGCTGCATAAGAAGCCATCCCAAAACTTCATGGTGTAAAACCACCACCATAATGTTATGCTTATCGATTCTGTGGGTCAGGAATTAGGAAAGGGCATCTCTCTTCTCTGTTCTACACTGTCAGGGGCCACAGCAAAGGAGGCTGAGAAATCTAGTCTTTGGAGGGGTGGAAAAAAAAAAAAAAGATAAATCTAGTCTTTATTCTGCCCAGAGAAATAAACCAACAAGCAAATAAATCAAGGGTTCTATGGTTGAGGAAGAAGAGGAGAATGGATATTGGCAGACATCCAGCAGTTTCTGCCACACCTTCTTACACCTTTCCATTTCCTGTTCAACCACTGATGCACTGCTCTGGCCTTGTCACCAGTTCCTCTGGTATATTGGGGGAGGGTGCTGCAGTCTAACAGGGAAGCTCGAAATATTAAACAGATTAGCACGTCTACATTCTGGTTTCAGGAAGAACTGGAACCCCACCTAGTTAGCCTCCTCTTTTCTTTTCTGGATGGTTTCCTGGGGTTTGGGGAGCAGATTTTGAAAACTTCCAGATTAGATTAGCACAGAGGCCCTTCTAACAAATCCTGAGGAATTTCTGTTTGTTATGTTTATGAGTAACCTCTCCCTGCTCTTAATCTGGCTGTGCCTCTGTTAGCTCCCAGGGAGTTCAAACAGATGCCTAAGGAAGTTGAGTGTGAGATGTGGAACCAGCCAGTAAGTGAGCACTTACTATGTGTTTGATACTGTACCAAGCTCTGGGATCATTGACTGCACCTCATTCTCTAAGTACCTTACATTCTTTTTATTACCAGGCCAGGGTGAAAATTAAACAGTTTGATGTATTAAGCACTGTAACAAAGTGTGATGGTAGCCTTGAAGTCCTAACCCCCAATACCTGTGAATGTGACCTTATTTGGAAATAGGGTCTTTACAGATGTAAACAAGTTAAAATGTGGTTATTAAAGTCAGCCCTAATCCAATATGACTGATGTCCTTAGAAAGATGGTAGAAGAGACACAGAAACAGACACACGCCAGGGGAAAGCCATACGACGCTGGAGGCAGAGACTGGAGGGATGATGCATCTACAGGCCAAGGAACACCAAGGATTGCCCGCAACACCAGAAACTGAGAGAAAGGTTTTGAACAGTTCTCCTCTAGAGCCTTCAGAGGGAGTAGGGCCCTGCTGACACCTTAATATCAGAATTCTCGTCTTCAAAACTGGGAGAACAAATTTCTATTGTTTTAAGGAACCCAGTTTGTGGAATGTTGTTATGACAGCCCTAGGAAACTAATAGAGATGGTCAGTTTGATGTGTCAGTTTGGCTGGGCTATAATCCTGTTATTCAATCAAACGCTAATCTTGGTGTTGTGGTGAAGGCATTTTGTACATGTGTATAATCAGTTGACTTTAAGAAGAGGAGATTATCAGGGCAGGCCTGATAATCAATCAAGTAAAAGGCCTTAAGAGTAGAACTGAATTGTCCTGGAAAATCAGAAATTCTGCTTGTGGACTGCAGCTCCAGCTGGTGTGAAGGAGGTCCCGCCTGCCCTTCCTGATGGCCTGCCCGTGGATTTCAGACTCACCTAAGCAGCTCCCACAACTGTGTGAGCTAATTCCTTGCAATAAATCTCTGATTATATCACTTACTGGTCTGTTTCTCTGGTGGAATCCTGACTAATACACAAAAGGATGATGTAATCTTGAAATACATTTGCCTAAAAGGCTGTGGAGCCACTGAAGACTTCTAAGGAGGTGGTTTCTTTTCAGGGTGTAGAAGGATGGCTAAAGGTTTGCTAGGTGGAAAAGAGCATTTCAAGCAGAGGGAACAGCACATGCAAAGGCATGGAGTGGTGAAGCCTCTCCTCCCTCCTCCCAGAGTGGCCAGAGATAGGAGTGTCAATGGGGAAAAAAAACCAACCTCTGTAAAATAATTGTAAGGAGATTTACTCTGAGCCAAATTTAAGGACCATGACCTGGAGCCACGCTGAGCCACTTGAGCAAGTGGACTCCATGTGCCTGGGTTATAGTTTGGTCTCATACATTTCAGGGAGACAGGGGTTACAGGTAAAGTTATAAATCAATATGTGGGAGGCATACATTGGTTTGGCCTGAAAAGGTGGGCCAACTTGAAGGGGGTGGGGCTTACAGGTTATAGGTGGGTTTAAAGATTGTTTGACTTGTAATTGGTTAAAGACATGAAGCTTTGTCTAAAGGCTTGGAATGTTTTAACATGAGGAGCTATTTATCAGAGATGAGCCACCGGACATATATTTGTTGTATAAATTGAGGACCTGCAGATTTGTCTTGCATACCCTTAGGCCTGTTAATGGGTTACAAACGATGTCCCCAGAAAGGGAGGGGAGCATGATGAGGCATGTCTGACCTCCCTCCACCTGGCAGGCAATTTAGTTTTAGGATATTCCTTTGGCCACAAGGGGGTCCATTCAGTCAGCCATTGGGGGTGGGTGGGGGGAGCGGTGAGCCTTAAAATTTTATTTTAGTTCACAGGAGTGACAGAGTTTATCCTGGTTACTGAGATTTTTGTCCTCCCCTTATATTTTGCCCTGAGGAAAGAGCCTCACCCCTAGTCTTGGCCCTGTTAAATATTTCCAGCACCCTAGTGGCTCCCTCATTCCCTGAAGGCCAGGGGTATTTAACAGGAATGGATGGCCTGGGGTGTGTGACCATATGGTCTGTGTATGCCTGTGTTTTTCTGAGGGGATAGTTCATTCCTTTGATGAGTTTCTTGGAGGCATCTGTAAAGTGAGGAATAGGAAACACAGCTAAGGACAAATAGGAAGCCTGGTGAGGGCCCCAAATAGTATAGCAGAGGGTGGGCCTGCAGGAATCAGAGACATCCTGGTGTCTGGAACCTTCATTTCTCCTCGGTCTCCTCATCGGTAAAATGGAGTTGGTCATTATCCTGTTGGACAGAGTGAAGATCAGATGAGATAATGGCTGTCAAATTCGCAGCACCCTGCAGGGTGCACCCCGCCAACTTTTCCTGAGTGCTTACGATGTGCCAGGCGCCGGGCTAAGCGTTTACAAGCCGTTACCTCCTTAAAAGCGCGCCGCAGCCCCAGAGGGAAGGTGCGAGTCTCAGGCAGCGCGCGTGGGCCGGTGGAACCAGCCACCCTGCCGCACGGGGGTGCTACGCTCGCGCGGGCTGGCGGCGAGGCGGGCCGGGGGCGGCGCGCAGGTGGGGCGGGCCGGGGGCGGGGCGGCGCTGCGCGGCGGTTCCGGGATCCGGGTCCCGGTCTCCGCTGCGGCCTCGGGGCGCCGACCGCTGGCCGCAGCTGGCGGGCGCATGTTGGGGCGCGCGGCGCGGAGGCGCTGCCCGCGGGGGCTGCGGCGCGGCAGGGGAGCGCTGCTGGTGCTGCTGGCGCTGCTGGCGCTGGCTGGGCTGGGTTCCGTGCTGCGCGCGCGGCGGGGGACCAGGGCCGCCGAGCCGGGACCCCTGCGCGCCCCGCGCTCGGGGCGGCGGGAGCCGGTTCTGATGCGGCCGCCAGTGCCCGCGGACGCGCTGGGCGCGCAAGGCGAGGCGGTGCGGCTGCAGCTCCAGGGCAAGGAGCTGCGGCTGCAGGAGGAGAGCGTGCGGCTGCACCAGATCAACATCTACCTTAGCGACCGCATCTCGTTGCACCGCCGTCTGCCTGAGCGCTGGAACCCACTGTGAGTCTACAGGTGGCCCCGGCCTCCTTGTCTTCATTACCCAAGTGGCAGGGGCATACGAGGAGGTCTCGCCTCTTATTGGATCTTTCTCGGAAAAAGGCAGTTAAGGGTTCAGAAAGGGGGCGGGGAGGCAAGGAAGTTAAAAGAAAATCGAAAAAATCCCAGAAATTGAGGAGTCAGTTACTAGGTAGTCTTCAGCTGCCTCCTCCTTGATAAGTTATCATTCTGCCGTGAAAAGGGTGAGGATGGGGCAAAGCAGACAGTTTTAAGGCGAGGACCCCACAGCACCCACTGGACAGCTGTGCTCTGCCTGCAGTAGAGAATGACTCCTCCGGGCGGGGACGGGCTCAGTTCATTCTTCCGTGTGTGTCAGGGCCTCAGGAACCAACAAGATGGGAGGGAGTGCCACAGGTGAGGTGAAAGGTGGCCGGAAGGCGGGTGTGAGGCAGAGAGCCTTCTTGCCCTGTTCCTGGGTGTTCCTGGGTGTTGGGTTTCTGGGCTTTGGGTGGAGGTAGGTGTGATGGAGGGAGGGTGGGAAGGACTCCTGGACTCCCTTGGGTGGTGCAGGACTGGAGCCAGGTCAGAGGGCTAGTTCCTGTTGGAACTGCCGCTGAGCGGGTGGTGCCCCCTGCCTAGGTGAGCAGCTAGGGCACAAGCTGGCAGCAGGAGGAAGGCCGGGTGGATCTTGCCGCCTCTGCTTCGAGGTCTCTTGGCCTTCTCTCTCCTTTCCTCTGAGGTGAGGGGGATCTCCCAGGGCCGCACATGAACCCCCTACTTCCCAACTCTGAGGAAAAGAGGGCTCAGAGAGCTGGAGCCTGTGGGAGCAGCCTGCTGTGTGCACCAGGCACCTGCCCCCCCTTGCCCCTCTGTGGCATTCCTGCTTTACAGGTGTGCACATAGGTTCAGAGAGGACAGATGACTCACCCAAGGCTCCACAGCTGGAAAGTGGTGGAACTGGCATTGGGGGAACATGGCCTTCCTGGTCCCCTTGACACCATACTGATCTCAGGATTTTAGCGGCCCTGCTCCAGAATGAGGCGGCCCCATCTTTGCTCCAAAGTTTGGGTGGGCTTGGACTTCATTGTCCTCCCTATTTTGAGAGATCTCCTCATGCCTAGCCCCATGCTTCTTCCTGAGGTGTTTTTCAGTTAATGACAATGTTGGGATTGGTAGCAGTTCCCCCACTCAGCCATTCAGCTTGGTGCCTGCTTAGCTCCTTGAAACCCTGGGGTGCTCACTGAGGCATGGTCTAGGGCTTTTGGGTCAGACCCAGGGTTCAAACCCAGCCCACATGAGATAAAATCCTGGCTCTTTTGCTCATCAGCTGTGCGATCTTGGGCAAACTATTTGGCTTCTCAGAACTCCGGTTTCCCCATCTGCAAAACAGTGCCGGCAGGTGAGGTGAAAGGTGGCTGGAAGGCCTAGTGTGAGGCAGAGAGCCTCCTGGCCCTCTTCCTGGGTGTTGGGTTCCTGGGCTTTGGGTGGAGGAAGGCAGATTCATAAATGTGAGTCTTTGTGCACTCTACATGGGAGTAGAAAGAATACACTGTAGGAATTAATTTCTACAATGCTAACACCTGGGAGCATACTCTGTACTTGGTTCTCATTAGTTTTTTCCCCTTTCCCTGTTGCCAGAATATACTTAGGAAGTTGCTTTTGAGAGTCATCAGGGATTGGTTGTAAAGTTTTTTTTTTTTCCTGTATCCAACTCCTTTATTGTCCCAGGTTGTGAATATCTCTTTGAAACACTGTGGAGGAGCTGTGGGGCTTAGGGTGTCCGGTTTCCATGGTGACACAGCTGCCCCATGTCCTATCAGAATTTGCTTATAGATCCTGCTGTTGCATTGACCCTGGGAAGTTAATCCAAACCCAGCATGCTAAGGAGTGTGAATGCCTCCTGCCTCTAATTCTGTAGCAAGGCCTGTGGCTTATTCCTGCCCAGTGTAAGAAAAAGGTGAGCTTTAGTCTTGCGTGTCTCAGTTGGGCCAGGCTTTGTGGCATAACTTCACTGTGGTCGGCAGGGCCAGGGCCTTGTGTGGAGTCTCACTTTTTATTACAGTTCATACTATATTGGATGAGGAACAGATCAGGGTCTGGAGACTTAGCCTGAGAAACCAGGATGGCAGATTATGAGTTCACAGTACAAGGGTGGGGTCCCTTGGGAGTCTAGGGACAGTTAGGGTCCTTGAATATTGCAGGGGAGAGTGCCTTGAGGGAGCATCCAGTCTAACCAGAGAGGAACAGCCATGCCCCAGGATCACAGAGCAGATCTGGGGAAGAGCTGGCCTACAGTTCAGATCTTTTATCTGTTCCTCCATTTCTGGGTGGGACAGTTATTTCTCTGTTTATTTTAATTATAAAAACAATATATGTTCACTCTAAAAATTTTAGCATGTACAGAAAAGCAGAAAAGAAAAACCAATAACCACCAATAAACCTATTACCAAGGGAAGAACCATTGTTAACATTTTGCTGTGTATCCTTCTAGTCTTTTCTATGTAGAGAAATAGGTTTTGAAAAATATGCATGTAGTTGTGTGGGTAAAACGTACTCAAACGTGGAATATGTATGTAGACCCATACTCGTTTTTGATGTGTCTTTGCACTACAGTGCATAAACCTATTGCCAGAGGCAAGGAGTTGGAGACGACCAGGGGACCATTTGGTTTAGCTCTTCCTGGTGTCTGCAAGGCTTGGCACCGTCACTGCCCCCTTGGACAGGGCCAGACCAATAAAGAGACATTTCAGAGGGTTGGCTCTAATTCTGTGAGTTGTACTGTAGACCCTGCCCCTATGAAAATCTGATAATTCACATGCCAGTGGATTAGAGCACAGCTTTATTTCTATTAGTCACAGTACTGAGTTGAGGGGAAGGAGTATAGTGATGACAAGGCATGCATGCATGGTAGTACAGCAAGTATAGGGTTTGCAGCACTTTGACAAGTAGCATCTCATTTGATCCTAGCAAGGAGGAGGAACTTTCACTGAGGTTCATAGCAAGCCAAAGTGGGGAGTCAGATAGCTTGCTTTGTGGCCCTAGGGAACTTTTTCAAAAATTGATGTGAGGGACCTTTCCCAGAACAGTTAAATCAGAATTTCTGTGGATAGGACCTAGGCTGAGTCTGCTGTAAAGCTGCTGGCCTACAACCTGTGGATTTCTGACTCAGAAAATTTAGGGCAGGTGCTTTTGAGGGTGTGGGAGAATACCAGAATTAGATGAAGTAAGGATTAATAACAAGTCATGAGGCTTGGCGCAGTGGCTCAGGCCTGTAATCCTAGCACTCTGGGAAGCCGAGGCGGGAGGATCGTTTGAGCTCAGGAGTTCGAGACCAGTCTGAGCAAGAGCGAGACCTCGTTTCTACTAAAAATAGGAAGAAATTAGCTGGATAACTAAAAATACATAGAAAAAATTAGCCGAGCATGGTGGCACATGCCTGTAGTCCCAGCAACTCGGGAGTCTGAGGCAGAAGGATTGCTTGAACCCAGGAGTTTGAGGTTGCTGTGAGCTAGGCTTATGCCATGGCACTCTAGCCCAGGCAACACAGCTAGACTCTGTCTCAAAAAATAAAAATAAAAAATAGGTCATGAGCTGTTAAAACCAGTGATGACATCCCAGTCAGTTGAGAGGTGTGTCACAAAGAAATGATTACTAATAATGTGCCAAAATTTGCAAAAAATTTTCGTTTTCATAGGAATAGGGATGTTGCGATTATCATTGAAGCATCATTCTCATTTGCATTCTAGTCTATTTAGTAGGAGAGAAAAAGTGAAATGGCAGTGCCCTCTGGGCTGTGCATTTCCCCAGGCATATCTACGGGACATCAGCCATTCTGTGCCTTGGTAGAAGAGCTGTGAATCCCTGGTCCGGAAAGCCTGGAGGTAATACACCAGTGTTTGTATTTCTTGATTACTCGCTCTGGTTTTAGCATTTTTAATACTGTAATTGCATTGTGTGTCTAAGTTCAGGGAACAGGATTTGGGTGCTAGGGTGGCAGAGTCTCAAAGTTCTAAATAGGTAAGTCAGCAAAAATTAGTTTGTCTTGCTAGGGTTGGCAGAAGGCAGTTGGTCAGGATTTCCTTTTTTGCATAAAAGTAGTCTGTCTGTTCTCATAAGGACATTATCTTTGGAAAAACATCACACATGGTGTGGGCATCAGACTGATGTTTCTTTTGCTTCCCCAACAAGGTTGAAAACTGCAGAATGTTTTATTAATTCTTATTAGACCCATCCTATGGTAGTCAGAGTGGCGTTCTTTCTTTGAGTTAGTACTTCAGATCCACAGAACATGTTCAATTTTGGTGAGTATTTTCATGATATCTTTTTCCATCCTTTCTCTTTCACTCATTCTGTGTCCATATGTTTTAGATGTGTCTCTGAATAGTATGTTGTTCCATCTTGTGCTGTCATTGAAAAAAAAAAATCCAGACTGACAATCATTGACTTTTAACTAGATAGTTACATCCATTTATATTTATCGTGTACACTGATACTTTTGGATTTGATTGGGCCATCTTATTTTATGGTCTTTGTTATGCTTTTTAAAATGTGTTTTTCCCATATTTTTTCATACTGCTTTTTGAGTCAATGGAGGCTTTCCCACATTTCTCATTCCATTTTTCTCTCTTTACTAATTTAGCAATTATATTATCTATTTCTTTTTTCTTTTTTAAAAAAACGAGGTCTTGCTCTGTTACTTAGTCTGGTGAGCAGTGGTATGACCATAGCTCACTGCAGCCTCGAACTCCTGCGCTCAAGTGATCGTCCTACCTCAGCCTCCCATGTAGCAAGGACTGTAGGCACACACCACCACTCCTGGCTAATTTTTCTATTTTTTTGTAGATATGGGGTCTAACTATGTTGCTCAAGTGGGTCTCAAACTCCTGGCCTCAAGTGATACTCCTGCCTCGGCTCCCAGACTGCTGGGATTACAGGTGTGAGGCAACCACACCTGGCCTGTATTATCTATTTCTTATCTTTAGTGGTAAATTTTAAAATATGTA